ATCCATCAGTATAACAACCTGGCAGAATTATTTGTCTATCTCCTAGTTTTTCCTGTGCATTTTTTCTCATCCTCTAGTATCCTATTGCTTGTCTTCTTTTTTCCCATATCTTTTCTTTTGTATTTTTTACTTTTAATGTCTATTTAAAATTTATTTGATATTTTTTCACATGGCCATATAATTCCAACTTTTTTTTGTATTCCAAAACTAACTCTGAAATTACATCTTTAAGTCTTATCTGGCCTTTGCTGTTCTTCTACTCATCCTTTCCTGTCAATCCTTCCATTGCCTTAGCACAGAGCCCTTTTAAATCACTCATCGTCAAGCATGGAGTATCACTGTATCCATCTTTGCTTAGCTATTTCCAAAGGTATCCCTTCCCTCAACTGAAATATGAGACGGTGATATTCCTAATCGTAAGGTCTGAACAGAGGCAATGAAAACTACTCTTTCGCATTCTAGGTATATATTCTCACTATGTATCATATATTTAATCTACTTCGCCATCTTATTCCTCTTAATTTTGCTCCCTATTTCTCGTTCCTATTCACGTATCCAAACTATTGACGCTTTAAGCCGCAACAACGCCTTGCATAGGTAACAATTTATGTGTTTCTCCCGGTCTGTCGCTTTTTTTATCGGCCTCTTTTTGTCGGGTATAATTTGGCAGTCGGTTCTTTTAACCCTTTATTACTGCCATGAGTATTGTAAGGCTGATATATCGCCCAAAAACATCAGCCAAGCTTATTATTAGCTCTATTGTAAATTTACTAGCTGCGTTTATTGTACTTAATCACTACTTTTTTCAGCATCTCGTACTGTGACTTGTGTAAATAGCTCATTTCACCCAATTCTCACGGCTTCCACCGCGTATATGTAGTCATTTGTAAAGATTCTCAGTATTTGATTGCTCAAACCTATTGGCACCTTTTCTTTTGCTACCTCATAAAAGATACCTTGCTACCCGAACATATATTCATCTACACATTGATTTATCTATACACCAGTCGATTGGTTATCTTGTGACTTTTTTAATGCCTGATTTCCTTTTTTTAATGCCGGACGAGTTTTTATTTTTCTATGCGCTACTAACAGTCACTTTTTAAAGCAACATTTACGTTCGCTGTAATAATTAGGCCTCTTATGGATTTTACAACCACGCTAAGCTTTCCCAATTTTCGCTACCTTGTCGAGACTACCTATCTTTCTTCATCTATCGCATATGGTACATATCCGCAAATACATGTTTGTTTATACTAAAAACTGATCTGCTGCATCTGCATTGCTTCTATATCTTCTGTCTTTCTTCGGTTTTTATCTCAACTCTATTATGCTTCGGAAGTTAAAGTGATTTATTTTTCTGCTGTTTCGGCGAAATTTGATCTAGAACTAAGTCGTACAAACTAGTTAAATGAGATGAGCTATCTTTTGGGAGA